CTTCGGTCGTCAGTCAAGGTGGAAACTGGGATGGAGAAAGAAAGGGCACGTGGAAGAATAGAGGATGAAGCCTCTGTGCCCGAAGAAAACTGAGAATGATGAAAACTGCTAAGGGGAGAAAGGGCACGTAGAAGAATTGAGGCTGAAGCCTGTGCCAGAAGATAAAGAATAGAGGCCAGAAGATGAATGATGACAATCTAAATGACCTGTTTCCTACGCTTCTTGGGTGGTTGATTATCCGGCTCAGCAACCAGTGCATTATTTCGGAGCGGATCTCCTTGACAAACGGGACATTTCTTCAGGAACTCGGCAGATGATTGACTATCATTGTAGTCAAGTAGAATTTCATCTCCTGAAAAAATTACCTTGGTTGCTGTGTAGACTATGACCGGTTTGCCATCCCCAAAGATATCAATGGGATTACCTTTGACGTTGGGGCAACAGGCGCTGTGGTTAATCAGCCGCCCCATGTGGCCGTCGTCCGTGGAAGCATCTCTGTAGTGCCACTTGTCACCAAACCGAAACTTAATCATGTAGCCCATGCCTCCATCAGAGCCTGCATAATATTTGGCATCCCCCTCCTTGCCGGAAAGATAATGTCCGCCATTATCAATGACCACCTGACCTTTCGTGTGCCTCTGCATAGCGAAAACTCCATTTCCTCGGTTTGGTAGTGGGCCTTTCTTAAACAAATCTAACCAGACATTAGATGTGACGGCGTTTCGCAGGCGAGCCGGGTCACTGGTCATTGTTAGGACATTTGAGGAACGAGACGGTTGATCAAAGTTCTTATTCAGAGTGAATATAAAACTTGCAATGGTCTGTATCTTTGCTGTGAGGTTTTTCAATTCTGGATATTGCTTGGGGAGAATTTTGACCAGTTGGGCTTTCGTGGACGTTTTAGAATGTCTGGTACATTCCACGAAATGTTGGGCGTATCTGTGCAATTTAAGGTCCCTTAGATAGGAGGTTACCGTCTTGATGATGATTTTGCCCTCAGGTGCCAACACACCCTTATCATCCACGCCACCTAGATGCTTGAACTCGGAGAGGTCCGTAAAGCTAGCAAAGACTGTGTGTTGTTTGGGGATTTCTCTGTCATGGACCACTGGGAACATATCGAGGGCTACTTTCTTTAAACGAAGCAAGCAATCCTCTTTCGTTAAATCATCGGAGGCCCTCGAGGAAAGACTGCTGCAGGGAGAAGGGGCACGATTAGAGGGTGAAGCCTCTGTGCCAGAAGTGGAAGTGGGAGTGGAAGTGCCAGGAGGGAGGGCGGGGGTGACATTGCCAGAAGTGAAACTTTCCTGGGGG